GGGGAGCTGGGCAGGATACCAGCCATGTTATCCCTCATCCCCAGGTAAGAAGCATCCCCAGGAGCGGGATGAGGTCTCCTGTTTGGTGAGTGGCCTCATGCACACGTCCATTGGCCATCAGGATGCCACGCCTGAGGTGAGGTGCTCACATGGACACTGTTCCCCTGACTCACCCCCACCCTAGCAGCTGAAAGAAGCCTGGGATAAAAGAGGGTGGTGAAGCATCTAGACTCGTGGTGGCCTAATTGGTGGTGTCTCATTAGCTAGGCACAGCTGACCTGGGATGCCCCAAGAGTCCGGCCAGGGCTGGGCTGTGGACTCTCAAGGATTTGGATTTGGGGCCTGTCTCACTCCCTTTTGCTATCTAACCTTCCAGGCTCCAGCAGCTTCTGGTCTAGCCCCTGTCAGCCTAGTAGAGACAGCACCTGAAGACAGCTCACCCCGTGGGACATTGGCAAGCAGTGGAGATGGTAAGGAACTAGGAAAGATGACATGTGCTAGAGGTTGCTGGAGCTGAGACTAGGGGAGGGAAGATGGCAGGCAGAGGAATCTGGCCTAGATCCTGGGGGCTAATGCTTAAATCTCAATGCCCAGGGTTTGAAGAAGGTCTCACTGTGGCCACAGTGGTGGAGTCAGCCCTCTGTGCTCTGAGAAACTGTGTGGCCTTCATGCCTCCAGGTAAGGCTGGAGTCTGGTACATGTAAATGGTGGTGGGACTTCTGTGGCTGGTAGGCCAGGAGCACATCCTCACTCCCTCCTCTCCCATGACAGCGGAACAGAACCCAGCTCCCCTGGCCCAGCCAGAGCCTCTGGTGTGGGTTAGCAAGTGGGTTGACTACTCCAACAAGTTTGGCTTTGGGTATCAACTGTCTAGCCGCCGTGTAGCTGTGCTCTTCAATGATGGCACACATATGGCCCTTTCGGCCAATAGAAAGTAAGTGCTATTATGGGTACCTTGAATTCAGGCTAGTATACCCAGCAGGGCTCCCTCTGACCTCTGCTTTCCCTTCTAGGACTGTGCACTACAACCCCACCAGCACAAAGCACTTCTCCTTCTCTGTGGGTGCTGTACCTCGGGCCCTGCAACCTCAGCTAGGCATCCTGCGGTACTTTGCCTCCTACATGGAGCAGCATCTCATGAAAGTATGTGGGTTTTTTAAAGGACTAACACATCTGGACCCTTTCTGATTCCCCTTTGGTGGGGGTGGGGCTCAAAGCTAGAAGCTAAGATGTCAGTGGGAGGGGGGTGGGACTGAGTCAACCAGTAATCTGTCTTCCACTATTCCCAGGGTGGGGATCTGCCCAGTGTGGAAGAGGTGGAGATGCCTGCTCTACCCTTGCTGCTGCAGTGGGTCAAGACAGATCAGGCCCTACTTATGCTGTTTAGTGATGGCACTGTTCAGGTAAGAGTCTGTCCTGGAGTTGAGGGGGAAGGTCTGGGAGGTCCCGGGTACAGGGAAGGAAACAATCTGGGGCCTAGGTCCTGATCACTGTCATCCTCCTATGCACAGGTGAACTTCTATGGGGACCACACCAAGCTGATCCTCAGTGGCTGGGACCCCCTCCTTGTGACTTTCGTGGCCCGAAATCGCAGTGCTTGTACTTACCTTGCTTCCCACCTTCGGCAGCTGGGCTGCTCCCCAGACCTGCGGCAGCGACTCCGCTACGCTCTGCACCTACTCCAGGACCGCAGCCCAGCCTAGGCCGCAACCTGCAAAGCAGGCCACAACCAAAGCCTTCCTTGTGTGAGGACTATGCCTGTAATGCTCTGGCCTTTGCCTTTGTGGCCCTCCTGTCCCTTTGGTGCCTCACTGGGGGCTTTGGGCTGAGCCCCCAGGGAATCAGGGACCAGCTTTACTGGAGTCGGGGGTGGCTTGTCCTTTGTCACCTACCCACTCTTCAAGATAAGCCTGAGCCTTAGCTCCCAGCTAGGGGGCATTATTTATGGACCACTTTATTTATTGCCAGACATTTATTTATTGAGATGTGAGCCCCAGGGAGGCCTTGTCCTGGGATAATAAACCGTTTTGTAGACTTGGAGGTCTCTCACTCCCAGTAGAGCCCGTGGACCATGGCCACCGCAAAGAGCGAGGCATTGGTGTAGGAGGCCGAGGCCAGCCCGTCAGTCCCTGCGTCCCAGAGTGCGCGACTGACCACGTGCACACCCTGGCCTGCCCGAGGCCCCAGCACCACGCTGCACACCAGCTTGTACCGGGGCGGGAGAAGCTCGCGCAGGCGCAGGCGCACCTGCTCGCAGAGCTCGCGAGCTAGCCGCCCAGCCTCAGCGCCCGAGTAGCACATGTCGCGCAGCCCAGCCCCTAGCACTGCCTCCAGGGCACTCTGTGCGTGCGCAGCCTCCCAGCGTTCCCCAGGGGCTGGCTCCGTACAGTATGAGTGCGCCACCCTAGGGACAGGCGCCAGGGGCAACCCAGAGAAACTGACTCTCGAGGCCAGAAGGGGCATTGGACCCAGAGATAGTCGCCGCCCTCCAGGGCCCACACCCGGCCAGGCCAGCGAGTTGCGGCGTGAGAAAGAGGTGGCTTGACCCAGCACGGAGCCACGGCGGGAGGCTGGGCCCAGACCTGCCAGTCGGGCCTCATCAATGCTGGGCAGGCGGCCTCGGGGCCTTACTGGTGATGGTTTCGGCCCGGGGTCTTTGGCAATCTCCTCCTCCTGGTGTCCGGGGGGCAGAGGCCTACCAGCCATGGACCTGCCGGCTAGAAGACCCACACTTAGGGTAGCCTTCACAGGTTGACTTCTACCAGGTCTCTTGATTGATGATGTCAGGGTTATTACCCACTACCCCTTCTTACCTGTGTTTTTGGAACAAGTGGATCAAATAGTCCTGAGCTGCGTGGGTCCAAGGTGTTTAGAAGGTTAAAGGCTGTTAGGGACATAAGCAGGGGAAGGATGCTGTTCAGACTATGATCCTGAGCTAGTCCATGCCCTCCCTCCCCCAGCTCCTCTTTCCCTCAGGCACTGTGGTTAGCTAGGTGAGCTCTAAGAACATTTCCTCTTCTACCTTCCACCTGACTTCACCAGCAGCAGAGGAGATGAAGCTGGTCCAGTCTCAGCCTGGACCATGAAAGTAGTACACCAACCACTAATCAGGAAGGATGGACAGACCTAACTCCACCCCTACAGATCCTTCTATTCCTAGGACATTGAGGGCAGTCATCTTCCATCCTACTCTGCTTTAAGGTAGCTGGAACAAAGATCTCCAGGGTGGTGCCTGTGGCTAAAAGGAGTAGGGCGCCAGCCCCATATGCCAGAGGTGGTGTGTTCAAACCCAGCCCCAGTCAAAAAAAAAAAAAAAATGTAAGAAAAAAAAAAATCTCCACAACTGGCTGAGGCTGGGGGCTGGTGACTCTTGAAGCTCCTTTGCCCTCTGCTTTTGGCTTCTGACCCAACCTCTCCAGAAACAGTCCTGGGATGGCTGCCCTCTTTTCCAGATACTCCTTCAGGCACCTGACTCATCTGGAACCTTTGGCCTTCAAGCTCTCTCCCAGCTCCACAGCCCTTGCCCAGCTGCCTGGCAGTGGGAAGGGAAGGGCCTGTGTTGTGGGGTTGCCATGGGTTGCTGGGGCATCACTCCTCCCTCTCAGGGTCCCTCCCTCCCGTTTAGCTCTGGCTTAAGCTGAGGTTGTTAACTACTATTAACACATCCTCAGTGGAGGGTGCCTCGAGTCATCTCAGTGGGGGGCAGCAGGGACTTTAAGCTCAGGGGCATAATACCCTGGGGGTATGGAAGGGACAGACAGAGAGACTCTGGTCAGAAAGATATCCTCCTGACTGGGGCTGGGGCTCCTACCTGTAATCCTGGTACTTTGGAAAGGGCAGGGGATCCTTGAGCCCAGGAGTCTGAGGTTGCAGTGAGCTGTGATGGTACCACTGTACACAAGCCTGGAAGACAGGGACCCTGTCTTGGGGAGAAAAAAAGAAAAAAAAAAGGGCACCGTCCTACCCCAGGCCTCTTTAGCAATGTCCATTGCTCTCCTTGTGAAATAGCCAGATGACTGGCCATCTGTGAACAAGTCAACAAAGGCCTGGTATATGGGGGAGACCTTGAGGCTGTGGGGGTGGCTGCTTAGGAATTCAGGAATCAGCCCACAGGAAGGAGCACGTCATGGCTCTATCTTCTCCTCATCAGCCTCGACAAGGGACAAACATTTCCGCCTCAGGCACTGAGCTAGGGTGGGGCTTGGATGACTTCCTCGGTTCAGGGCTGTGTGCGGGGGAGGGGAGGCCCTCTGGCTCTCCTGGTAGGAGCCAGGCCTTATGCAGGGGTGACTTAGTGGTGAACCTGAGTTCAGTCTCCTGACCCTTGCTAGTCCAAGTGCCCTGAGGCTTGTCCCCAGCTGGCCACACCTTCAGTGTGTCCTCCCTGCCTCCACCTTCTGTTGCATTTCAGGGATGCCAGAGGCAATGATACCTCTGTCAGAAGTGACAGCTCCTCATCTGACCTCCTTCTTGGTGGGATAGGGCTGTCCCCTCCCATGGAAGGCTAGTCTGGGCTCTGGGGGTGAGGATTTTCTCCACTCAGTGGCACTTCCCCAGGCCTGGCTAACCTGATCCAGACCCTGTGTGCCTCCAGGGGCAGTAAGACTTTAGGAGGGCAGGTTGTTTGAACAGTGAGCCTAGGCAGGCACAGGCTGGAGTAACAGAACTCCTCTTAGGGTCCCTCTGCTGGCTAAGCTTTCCCTGGGCCTGAGGGGGGAGATAGGCGGGGCCTTTTCTGCTCCCGATCCAGCTTCCATGGAAACTCACAGGCTTCCCACCCAGCGGTGGCTCCCAGCCAGGGCCTCATCTGGCTGCCAGCCTCTCTTCTCTGACCACAGGCCACTCCAGCCCAGCCTTTACTGGGTCCTTCCCCAGGTTTGCCCCTTTCCCTGAGCCCCTGGCCTCGGATGCCTTCCTCCTTCAGGAACCTGGGCCTCAAGCTCTCATCCCAGCACACAGGCTTCCGCTTCCTGCCTTTCCATCTCAGGCCTTTCTAGCTTCTTCTCAGTTCTAGGGCCTGGCCAGGCCTCTTAGGCCTGCCCTCTACCCTACCCATGGAGGGCCTCGGACTGGTGGTACGTGGTGAGGCTGCACCTTTTTCCACAGCTCTCCGAAGCCTCATCAACAACCCTTGGTACAGGTGAGGCTCTGTCTGTGGGTTTTCCCAGCTGGCTGTGAGGAGGCTTGGGTGAAGAAGAGGCAAGAGTTGGAATTGCCTCCCTCCCAGGAGGGCTCAGTCTATGGGGGAAGTCAAGTGGAGACAGCTTCTGGTTATGAGAGCCAGAGGTGAGGACAGCAGGGGCACAAGCCCAGAGCTGCTGTATGAGCTCAGGTTAAGCCCCTCCTCTGAATCTCAGGGTCCTGGCAGAAGAGAAGGATCCTCAGCTGCCTGGATCCGGAGAGGTGGGAGGTGATGATGCCCTGCTCCTCCCTCCTAACATTCATCTTGGTGTCCATGCTCCCTCTTGGAAGAAGCAGAGGAGCAGATGTCCCTGTTTGGGGAACTGGGGATTCACAGAGAAACATAGCTTAGAGTCCCAGGCAGGAAGTAGTTCAAGGGTGCTGCCTGTTTGGGGCTTGCCCAGGATGCTGGTGGTGTCTGAAACCCAGGATAGAGTTTACAGGGGGCAGGGCTGGTTAGGAGAGTTAGAATGACGCTTTCTATCCCCATTGTCTCAGAACTGGGCTCCTCTGCAATAGCCTATAACCCTATAACCCTCCTCTCCTATAACCCTACTTCTTTGGAGGTCACAGTCTAGCTGGAGTAGAGCAAACACAAGGCTTTGGGAGGCTCTAGGAAGCTCAGACTTCATCTGCCTTCTGTTAGAGGCCTTGTTCAGAGGCCCATAGGTTAGGGCCGGAAGTGATCATGAATTTTAAAATGTGGTCTGGTGTCACGATGGTGCATCACTGTCTGTCTGTGCAAGTGTGTACTCTGCACCTCACACCCCCACACCCTCCTGCTGGAGGAGGACCGAAAACAGCTGAGTTTATACCCAGTGGAGGAAGAGCCAACAGGCACTTTCCTTCCCCCAAGACTGGCTGAGGAAGGGAGGAGTAGGTGGGATCAATCTTGTTTGTGTCAGCCTTGGTGCCCCTTCAGTGACTAAGAATAGTCACTTCCTCTTGGGAGATGCCTGTTGCTCAGTGGGTAGGGTGCTGACCCCATATACCAAGGGTGGCGGGTTTAAACCCGGCCCCGGCCAAACTGCAACAAAAAATAGCC